TCCCAGCTACAGGGTCGATGCCTACTAAAGCAGAGAACTTTTGGGTCGTCTTGGAATAGCCAAGTGCAACGGCGAAAGCTGTCTTTCCTCCTCTGCTGTGGCCTACGAGATTCAGCTTGAGCAAGTTTGCCTCGACATTTTCCGGGCGAAAGGATTTCAGACCTAAGGGAACCCAATCTGCCACCTCCCCTGCCAAGTCTACTTCTTCTTGCCCTCCAGGTGGAATAATGTTGACTAACTAAGAATCAAATCAAATCAAATCAAATTATACCAGTCGTAAGCTTTTGATAAAAAGTTTACAAGAATTTTATATATATATATTTGGATGAAGAGTAATGGAGGGATGTCGAAACATTCTTCCATCGCCCGTACTCTTACAAAAATTTATAACCGCTAATTTAAAATTTTCAATCCAAAAGAAGAAGGGAAATTGAAATTGATGGGGGTCCTCAAAAAATATATACCCGAGGAGCAACGATTATGAATCCATGGGAGCAAATGAAGCTCAGGAGGTCAGTGTAGAAACAGTTACGGAGGTAGAAGCCATGGAAGAATAAGATAACAGGGTAAGTGCCTGCAGTGGTTGGTGTAAAAATCAGTAATGGTTTAGGAGGTGAAGGAGAAGATGAGGATGATGTATCCTTTTTTGTATTTGAACAGCAAGAGGATGGTGCCCCCCACTTCTATGATTTGTGGATGACAATTTCCCTCCTTAAAGACGGGAAGAGTCGTTGAAACAGGAAGTGCGGAGAGAACAGGGTTAGCTTCCTGAAGGGATGCCATTTTCCGGGATCTGGTTAGCTTGGTTTGTAAGATCGTAAATAGAGATGCAGCTCTACCTTTATGTTAGTGGTAGCTAAAGCATCCCGCGACCACTTTTTAATCATGCATGGGTCAATTTAAGGATGGGATCAGTGACTTTAAATAACATGACAAGGCCTTTTTTCTGTCCTATGGGGACATCACATAGCCTTTGCCGTGAGTCTGAGGTACTATTAAATATTTCAACAATGATATAGTTACAAAAATAATATAATTAAATGTGATGTTGTATTTTAATTTTATAATTAT